CACAGAAACAATCACAGGAGAGTAACTGAATGTCACAACACGGTGACAAACTGCTGCTCTAGAGAAGAAAACTGGACACAGTGTCATACAGCAGTCAGGAATGAGTCCAGTCACTGCTCAGTAAAACAGACACCTCCTTTATCTGACACACCAGAGCAGCTTGAGCCATCACTCTCAACATTCTTTCCATTCCCAAAAGACCGTAACTCGTCTGGTTTCCTCTGCAACTTACTCACTTCTCTTTTGAGCGGGAGAGTTTAAAATTCAAACATGCTCCCGCCCTTTCCAACTGAAGTAGAAATTCCCGTTTACACAGCAGTGAGGTCAGAGAACAAGCTATCCATAAAACCAACATCTAAACGCATTTGGCATTTGTGTCATTAAAAAAAAAAAAAGCTCAAACATGCCTGAAGAACAGCATTAGAGGAAAAAATAAACAAAAATAATGCAAATAGATGTCACTCCTATTATGTGTCATAGCAAGATAACAGATCCCTGCCTGTAACAATGATCATTCATATGCAGATGGGGAATCATCTTGTGATTAAGACATGATTAAAGGAGTGGTCGTGGATGCAGGCCAGGCTTAGATGCTTTAAGCCAGACAGTAATGTCTTGAAGATGGGGGCGATGAGATCTGCATGAATAAATAAAGGTGGGGGACACCCTGAGTGTGGAGGGGGGTGGGGTGTGGAGCAGCCATCAGGGGAAGCATCCCCTCCTCAGCTTGCAGTTTTGACCTTGCAGGATGGGAAGGGGATGCCTTTATAGCCCCTATGTATAAATGTTGCACTGATGAGAGTAAAGAAATATCATGGAAATGGCAAAATCAATTGAAACTCAATATTTACTGTCTCAACTAGGTATTAGTTACGCCCTAATATTAATAAAATGTACGGGTTGTTTTGCAGGGCCTGCAAATGCTATAATATTGGTAGAATTTCCCAGGATTATTCTGTGATTAAAAATAAAATGAAAAATAACCTACATCTTTCAGCTGGTCGAGCTCCTGTCGGACGGCCTCGTACTCGATCTCCAGGTCGTCGTACTGCTGTTTGAGCTGCTGCTTCTCCTCCAGCACCGCCAGCCCGTACTCCGCCGCCTGGATCTTCTCGTTCGTGGTCTCACTCAGCTCCCGGGAGAGACGCTCGATCTCGGCCCGCAGACACTCCGGCCCGGCTTCCAGCAGCAGCATAGCGTCGGTGTACCAGTGCTCTTCCACGGACATGATCGGCAGCCAGGTGACGATCAACCAACGTGTGCGCTAGCTGATCTGCGACAAGAGGGATGCTGGGGCGTCTTCAAGCGGTGTAACCTTGAAGAAGAGGCGGTTGCTCAGATTCGTCTGTATTTAAATTGCATGATTGTTACGTTTGCGTTTCTCGTCGCCGGTCCCGTTTCTTTGGTCATGTAGGTGACTCGGTTCGCTTATCTTCGTCAGCGGAGTCCGCCGGTATCTCTTACAAATGCTCCATCGCTGCGCTCCTGCGTTTTTCTCCTCCTCTCCCCGGCTTGTCGGAGCGATAGCGCCGAAGCAGGAGTACCAACTGCCAAGACAGGATTCTCACTTTCAAAATAAAACGCCGCTCGATCAAAATAGGCTTCGGACCGCGAGTGGGAGCAGATTTATTGTGCATTGCTTACACATCGACATAAAAACATAGCATACATTTTGATAATATATGTAGAGTGCAAAAAAATATCGACATTGCCCTAAAATATCAGGACCGGTGCGCTTTTATTTTGAAGACCAAATAGTCTCGTTTGAAACAGCTGAACCGTCCTACGCAATCAGCTGGTAGGGCGCCTGTCTGCTGGCAGTGCATGTTGGGAAATGTAGTGACTTGTTGAACTGTCACTACAGCTAAGTGGGACATACGACGTCACGAAAGAACTCATTACCCATAAGGCTTTTCAATCTGCTTATGTGGAGCACGGAAATCTCTGTCCAAAGCGTTTGTTGTCATAGAAATGGAAAGAGCCGGCAGAGTCGCCGCACGTATGTCTGCTGCCATCTGTCGGAAGAGGTTAGCATTTAATCTTTTTCTCACGCAACTGCACTGAACATTCATTTACAGCCTATCAGTGGTTATTTATGTTTATATTATTTTGTCACTGGGGCCACAAAGTGTTATTTACACTCACATCTGATAAGCTAGCTACATCAGTTTGAATTTTTTATTTATTTTTTTGCTGTTTTTTAAAAAAATGTGTTTTATTTCATCTCATATTTGATACTTTGTTTTGTATGATTGCTGCTGCTGCTGCTGTTGTTGTTGTTTTCCATACATACACATATAGACTTGAGTGGCCTTGCCAATCTCCAGTCTCACAAAACAAACACACACAAGAATACAAACACACAAAGACACGTAAACACATCTAATATTGTTTACCAGATATTCATGCCAAATTGACAGTGAAATAAAAATATATATCTATATATGCTTAAGATGCCACTAACAAAAGGCTTGTATTAGCTCCAGTATTCCATGTCACCTTGTCTTCCCATCTTTTGCATTTCTATTGCTTTACTTTAGATTAAATGAACGGTCAACGTAAACAATCATATTCATGTGTATGTTTCTGTTATTATTAGCTATTTATCAATAGTTTACGTATTGGTTTTATATATAGAAATGTAGAGTAGCCTTGTCAAAAAACAAAATGTCCGTTGTTACTAATGAAAACACATTTGTTCAAAATTTGTACTTGAATATAGTCATGCTTTCTTCAGGTTTTAAAAAAAAAAAAAAATTTTTTTTATCTTATTCTACTATATACTGCACTATGGATGGAATGGGAAGGTTATTTTACATTTATTTTACAACAGTATAGGAACATGGTTAGCTCCATCTTGAACCAGCTTTATAATTAAAATGCAATAAATACATGCATAAATGTATGTGATAACATTTACTAATATAGACAGTATAGCAGAGCAACAATTTCATTACTTTTACTTTTGATAATTTACATTACACTGATAATACTTCTCTATCTTATTCTACTATATACTGCACTATGGATGGAATGGGAAGGTTATTTTACATTTATTTTACAACAGTATAGGAACATGGTTAGCTCCATCTTGAACCAGCTTTATAATTAAAATGCAATAAATACATGCATAAATGTATGTGATAACATTTACTAATATAGACAGTATAGCACAGCAACAATTTCATTACTTTTACTTTTGATAATTTACATTACACTGATAATACTTCTCTACTTTTACTCACAGATGAAGTTGCAACTTTAAGCTAAGGACTTAAGTATTTCTTCCTTTCTTATTGTTTTACACTTTGGCATTTTGTATGGCAGATTTCTACTTTGTTGCCATATATGGAAAAGACATAATGAATCCTGCTCTACAGGCTGCACTGCATTTCCACACAGCTGTCTGACTAAAGCATTCTCTGGTAAGTAAGCTTTATTAACATGAACTGAAGGAAAACTATTATGTTTATAGTTGCAGATAAGAGTGTAGATATTAAACCTAAAGCCTCACATGCCCATTTGAAATGATCACAGGATATGTTTCATGAGAAGGTACATTTTTGTCACTTTTGACTGTGTGTGTTTATAACAGACAGCAGCATTTTACCTTTGCATTGGGATTATTGGCTTTGAAGTCTCTCCAAATACTGTGCATAATAAACTGATCTCTGCTCTCTAACCTGAAGCTAACCAGCTTTAGCAAGGTGCTAGGTAAGCCAATAAGATTTTATCTACTTGCTATGTCATTAAGGTCCCACTATTTGTAGAAGTAGGGTAGGAGAGCTTAAGTGTGCTGAAACCAGAAGTCTTCTGAACCCTCTCATGACAAAAATCTCACATCTATTCATTCCAATTCACAACAAAATACTTGCATGTATTTTTTCAAATGCATCGTTTACTATCTAGAATATGGTCTGGTGAGTAGTTAGTGAAGTTAGGTTTGAGTGAAAAAAAACTAATAATATACATGCATCAAGAAACAATGTATGTTGTCGATCAGCAAGGGAAAACGTGTGGATATAGTACATGTTTTTGTTGAGGAGTGGGTGGTCCATTTTATACCTGTTCATAATAAGATTAGAAGTCTAATCTGGGAGGAGTCAGGAATAGCCTGACAGTCCTCCCCTCCACAATTACAGAGTAAGAGGAGGGACCTGTGCATGGAGCCAATCACAAAAGACACAATCTCTGCTACTTTTCAACACCTTCTTGATGGTGACTTATTCCCATATTTGATTTGCCACCTTGGTGGGATGGATGGCTTCTCATGAGGGAGCACACAGAATCCACTGGAAACTTGTGTTGTCCACTACACAGAGATAATCTGAGACGAATCAAATTAAGTAAGGCCACAGGATTGACCTTCCGCTCAGCAAAAGAGGGAAAGACAACGTTCGAGCTAGGGAGGCTGGTGTCAGAGATGTCGACATCTGCGGCGGTGAATCATTTGTGTTTTGACATGGTGATTACAAGCATCTTATCTCAACTACTAAAGGTGAGTCACTCATTTGAATTGAATGTGTTCTGTTTTGTGGTATTTACTGTTAGATTGATTGCATTTCTTTTCATGATAGCTGATTCAAACTTAACTGTTCTACAGTGTGATCTGGAAAAATGATCATGGATTTTGTACTTTGATGAGGCACGAAGCTAAAACAAGTAGCTTAGACTAATAACTCGCCAATTCCCTTAGAATGAATTGCATCTGCTTTACATTTGACATGTACATACATTTTAATGTGATTCATGATCCTGATCTTTGACTGTTCCTGCAAAGAAGTTCTCTATAACACTCTCTATTCTAAACTAAGACCTTTACAGCTTAAATTGTCAACATGTTCATTTGTGAGGACTGGTTATTTATAAGATGCTTTTTCCAGAAAAAAAAAGCCCTAAATGTATACAGAATGCATATGGTAACTTGTATAATGTAGGATAACAAGGAAAATATGTGTGTCTAGGCTCTGCTATGACCATCAGCCTGAGTGAATATTCATATGGAACTGCATGCAAAGACAACAGGGGGCTCCCTGATGGAATACAGTAAGTAAGGAGGGTTGAAAACACTTTAATAAAAAGTAACTTAGGTTCCATTAGTTAGCCATCTATGATTGTATTTTTAGTTTACTAAAAATGTTATATTAAGATGCACTGCAAATGTCCCAGAAGAGTAGCTATTTTTACTGTAATGCCCTGATGACAGACTTGTAATGCCAAACAAGGATTAGACACTTCTAAGTGAGCACTCACCACTGATGATCTTAACTGTTTAGGTGTTACAGTGCAGCCTCCATTAGATGGATTGTCTGTGCTGCTCTGCACTTTTGTATCAGAAGCTTTTCAAATGATTTTAATAGTTTTTACTTGTTATTTTTTTCTGGAAAATGTATAAGCTAATAATTCTAATTATTACTGACTAAAAATGGCAGTGCAATGATTCACATTTCAAGTTAAATACAATAAACATCAATTTTATGATTTTAGATTGAAAATGTCTGTGTAAATATCAAATTTCTTCCCTTCTTTTTCCCCCTACAATAACTGCAGTCCGAGCCCCCAGAGCGAGGTACACAATAGTCGGAGAAGCTATACGTTATGTCATTCCTGGACATATGCAATGCTCTATCGGCTGTGGAGGTCAAGCCTGCAAGTATGACAATCCAAGTTATTGGAGTGATGACCAACAGGCCATACAAGGCCTCTACTCATCCTGGTACATATGCTTAATACCTTAGAAGGCAGTTTTCCAATGCAAATATTTTTCTCTTAAAGCAACACTTTGGTTTCTTTGAAGTGGGATTTTGTAAGTTAATTAGCCATGGTCAGTGTACAACATACAGAAAGCAGCAGTCAGCAAGGCCCCCAGTTTAAAGAAGTAGACGGGAATACCAAAACAAAAGCTAAGCAATGAACTGTGGTGGATGGGGTCAGTCAGAAAACTTATTTTAGTCACCTAAAAAAATGTGCAAAAGTGTCACCATATTTGGGATATCTTCTCTTCTTTACCTTGCCGTCAAACAGCTTTTCTGACAAGGAACAGAAGCCATAATATCGTTCCCTTCGAAGCCACCATACTCTTTTGACAAAATCAGTCAGTTTACCTCCCAAAACCAGGAGTTGTGGGTTACTGTTGTGTGGCTTTGTGTGAGTTGTAACATGTTAATTTGGATCCAAAGCAACATGTGCAATGGCTTTGAAGAGAGCAACAAAACAGCATCAGATCCCTGTCAGAAACAGTGTGACAGCAAGGTAGAGAGATGAAAATGCTGAAAATATAGCATACACTTAAACTGATTTTTTAGGTGAGTAAAATATATTTTGCTGCTGACCCTGTCTGAAGTGGTTCCTTCGCTTCCACACAGGAACATCTGCCTGCTTCTCCAAAGTCTGAATGTGCTGACTGTAATCTATTGTCGGTAATGCAATAGAATATGGACAAGAACCACATACAACCCCACTTTAAAAAAAAACCCAAAACCTTTAAGCTATGTAAGCCAAACTAAGAAATAAGTAGATTGCTCTGTAACATATGTCCCTGTTTTTCCATTGTTTTAGGATTACTGATCATCTTCTCGCTATGTCCAGACCTTCAACAGAAATCATTGAGAAGTATAACATCATTGATCAATTTAGAAGGTATATAGAACTTTGTTTCAGGGTCAACAGTGTTCAGAATCTTTCTGACTAAGAAGGTTCAGAGCCAATGAGACTAACCAAGTTTTTTTGTGCTCTGTTTATGCATGTGATTGCGTAAAGGAGTGGTATTAAAACAGTCATCAACCTACAGTTACCTGGTGAACATGCCAGCTGTGGAAATCCTCTAGAGCCAGAGAGTGGCTTTTCTTACCGCCCAGAGGTCTTTATGGAAAACAATAGTAAGTACTTTATGTAATTCTTGGTAAATAAATAAATATATGTTGTACCATGATAGTAACTGAAATGCTGTTATAATTGACATATGTGTTTTTTAGTTTATTTTTATAATTTTGGCTGGACTGACTATGGAGTGGCCAACCTCACCACTGTGCTGGATATGGTGAAGGTCATGGCCTTTGCACTGCAAGAGGGGAAGATAGCAGTCCACTGTCATGCTGGTCTCGGCAGAACAGGTAGATTTTTAAGGAATTGTACATAAAGTGTTTTAAAGGTCCAATATTGTGCTCCTTGTCAGTAAATTAATGAAAGTGTCACATGTTCCATAGTGTGTCTTTAAACTTCACAGCAAAATACTGCAAAAATGGTTCATCTTGTCATGACTGTATAACCCCATGCTGTAGCTCTGTTCTAAATGGGATGTTTGAGTGTCTGTAGCTTTAAATGCAGCTGAGCTGCTGCTGTCCATGCCTCCTTTAGGAAAAAAGCCTACCTCTGTGTCTGTAATTGACATACTGTATGAAAATAGGTGTTTGACCCCAGGCTTTTTGCTTACCTTTGTCACTCTGAGGAATCATTTTACATGGAAATATTGTTGAATTTTAAGCATGTCCACTGTTTTTAAGTTAGGTGTATGGTGAAATTGTCAGATGACGTTGCAGTTATAAAATTGGGTTACCATGTGTCAGTGGGGTGCATTTCAGCCTCTATTTCGTACTTGGTTATTGTCTGAGAACTGAAAGAGAAAAACATTTAAATGAGAACAGATTTATGTTAAATTTGCCTGTATCAAAATGTAGTATATGTGAGCTCAGAGAGCCGGAGAGAAGAAAACAGATTTTAAAACAAACACCAACAAAATTTTGGTAGCACTGAAGCTCAACAGGTGACACAAAAACATAATAATCCAGCCACTCTTTGTTCACTGGCTTCAAATCAGTCTCAGAGTGTCCACCATTTCCACAGATGCCTAACCTGTGGACATTAACTGTGCAATTTGCTAACAATAAGGACTTACCTATTGCTGAGGTGACACTGCAATCAAAAATAAAAGTAATTGACTGGGTTTTTAGATCGTCAAATGCTGAGAGTGCATGAATTGTTTACTCTGGCAACAGCAGAACATTTGGCTTGCTTTGCTTGTGGCTGAGACATTTTAGAGTTAACAGAGGCGGCTGTTGAAAGTAAATAATCCTGGACTGTGAGGCAGCTGTGCATTTGAAATTGGCTCACTTGGAAGCAGGGGGCAGTGAGGGGGCAGGATTGTGCAAATTTTTAGCTCAACAACTGCTGGTTCCTCAGTTTCTACTTAGAAGCCACATGAAATTCTGACCGGCTTGTAAAATTGGGATGCCATCTAGTTCTGAGGTGGCTATAGGAATGGCAGTAGTAAATGTCTTCATATTCTCACAGCTTTTATTTTACACATCCAAAATAAACAAAACACAATAAAATTATATTTAGTTTCATCTGTGCAATATGACAAGGAGTTAAGAGCATTTTTTTCTTTTCTTTATCCCCCAGGTGTGCTGTTAGCATGTTTCTTGGCCTATGCTACCAGAATGACTGCTAACCAGGCGATTTTATATGTTCGTGCCAAACGACCCAACTCCATCCAGACCCGAGGTCAGCTCCATTGTGTCAGGGAGTTTGTCCAGTTTCTTGTTCCTCTAAGGAGTGTGTTTTCCTGCGCTGATCCCCGATCCAACCCAGTCACCCTGCAGCAGTACCTGAACCGCCAGAGACGCATTCTGCATGGCCATGAGAGAAAGGAGCTGAAGCACCTACCAAAGATCGTCCAGCTAGTGTCTAGGCTGCTGTTAGACATAGCACAGAATCGACAAGTGATTGAGGAAGATATTCTGGAGGCCCCTGATATTCAGGACATAGAAATGACTCTCAGCATAGTTGAGAAGATGGGCCACAAGTTGCTTGGGAAGGAGCCCCGCTTACCCGGTACACCCACCTTACCCAGACATTTCAATGAACCACCCATCTTTTATCATCGCAAAAGTCTGAGCTACAGTGAGTCTGACTTGAGACGGTTGGGCTCACAGCTAAACCTCCTCACACAGCCTCTGAACTCGCTGTCACAGAGTAATATTCAAATGTCCATTTCCCATTCCGACACTAGATCCCAGTGTCAAGGTTGGAGTAGCAACACGTCTGATGTCTCTCACGGCTCAGCGGGCTCTCTCTGGCAAGTCAAGAATGTGGAAAACCCAAAAGATGTATCCATTCTGCTGAAGAAAGTGAAGAGGAAAACAATCCAGCGTAGCGAGTCAGTGGGAAACACTGTATCTGTCAAAAAGGGTAGCATGTTGTCCAGGTGGAAAGCAGAGCAGAGGGAAGAGCTGGCAATGAACGGGATGAAATCTGAGGTTAGAGAAGAGGAGCAGTCAGAGGTGCCCTTCATCACCTTGCAGTCAGAGCTGTCTCTGGATGCCAGGAGGTTGCTAGTGGCACAGGCCCTGGCAGTGGACCTGTTTCTTGATGGGGAGGAAGAGCACAAGAGTAAAGTTTTAGCCTGGCAGGTAACTAACCCACACCAAAAAGAGCATGTATGTAGAAATGCATCAGAAGTTACGCAGTGCTTTCATTTTTCCATCACAAAGTATTACCTGCTCATGACAGACTGCAACTCACAGCTACAGCAAATTCATTGTTTTATTCACCCAAGTCCAAATCGCAGCAGCAGGAACAGAATGTGTAGCCGAGTCTAAGCTAACTGTCCAAATGTTGTGCAGGCAGAGCTGAACCAAGGTGGTGCATGGGAAAGGCTGTGCATGGAGCGGGATCCCTTTATCCTCACTGGACTTATGTGGGCGTGGCTGGAGCAACTTAAAGAGCCAGTCATCTCCATCCAGGATGCCAAAGCCCTGAATTCTGACAATGCTGATGCTCAGACGATCCTCAACACACTCGACCAGGTCAGAGGCTTCTCTGTACTAAATCAGATTTAAAACAACATCAATACCGCAACAAACTGAATGAATGACGTTGAGTTTAACTGTCTTTGTCTCTCAGGCCCCTAAAGAAACAATAACATGCATACTAGATTGCATGGCTCATATGCTGAATATACCAGATGAGGTTGAAAATGCATTCCTGAATCGCATAATTAAGGCTTTCACATGGGTAAGAAAAATCATACACCTCATTATTTGGGAATAATTTTAACTATTCATTTCATTTACTTCTGGAAGGCCTGTTTCAACAGTTTATGAATCTTACTCTCCTTCTAACAGCTGGATAATAATTCAGAGGATGGGAGAAACGTGTACGAGTCCATGACAACAGTCCTAAGGTGTGTTATAGAGGACATGAGATGTACGACAACTGAAGAAGATGAGACAGCTATGGCTTCCTTCCCATTAACATAACTGCTGCCAGTCGTGTATACGTGGTGCACTGTCTGCGCGGGGGAAAAAAAGATGCTTTTGTGCCTTGTATTAAAAGTGATTTAATATGTAAAAACACACATTTGTAAACATGGGCTTTTCTAAACACTGATGTGCAGTTTATTGTCACACATACATAACTAAGTTGCCGCAGTATTATTTTACCTCAGCAGAGCATGGAGGTAACATATTAAAGAAAAGATGACATATTTAGCGATACATTTTGCCTTAAGCCTGGTCACACTCACCTCTTACATACCTCAGCTCCAAAAGCGTAGATATGTAACATTATCCTTACACTTGGACAAACCGTTTTTTCCTTAACAAGAATATTGTTCACACAGTGTATCAATGCCTTTCCCATTTAGCATTCATCTGTATTACATTTTTGAAAACATAGTCCAGCCAAACAGCATACTAATGTAAGCCTACTCTGCATGGTGAACAATTCATAATAAAAATAAAATGTTCCTCCTTCCAGTGGGCTGTGCAAACCGCATGCAGGCACTTTTGTGGCTCTGTGATGCTCAGGAGGTGAAAGAATAGGCTTTTAGGACGTCTTTCCCATCTTTGCCTTCCACTGAGGCCACAATGCTGGAGTAGTCACAGGCAACGTGGGTGAACCCTCTAGAAAGCATGAAAATTAAGTTGTTGATATTTACAGTATGTCACATCAAAAACAGAGAACATACTTCTATTTAGGTGGTCAGTAATTGCTCACAGCTATTGATGCTAACATGGATGTTGTTAATGCAGCAAACGCATACAGTACCTGGACATTGTGTGAGAGCCTCCCAGTAGGTGGTATTGGCTCTCCAGGGTCAAACCACGGTCTCTGTCATTTCTCCATGTCAGCACTCGTAAAGAAAGGTCCTGAGATGCTGTTACCACACGAAAACTATCCTGAAAGTGCAAAAACAACTGATATTATTGGTCATTTTCAGACACTTAAACTGTGCTCACTTCACAGAGATGATATACTGTACTCCAGAAAACTAAGAACTTCAAAAGGTGAGGAATAGTTCTCTGAATTCCAAAAGAGAAAGCAGCCTACCACACTTATGGATGAAATAGGCCTAGTATGGTCTTTAAAGCTCGCCAGCAGGTCTCCTTTAAGAGAGTAGACCCATAGCTGTTCACCAGCTGCCAACACGATACAGTTGCTGTCCTTGGCCTGTAGAAGAATGTCTGAATGCCGCAATTCCAGATTGAAGAACTTCACCTGCTGGACTAAAATACAGAAGAGTTTCAAATTATACTAGCACAAGCCAAATTTTTAGGAAAAAATATCTTTAAAATATTTGTGCACAGTAATCTTTTATCAAGAGTTGAATGTAGATCACAGAAAGAGTAACTAGAGTGGTATGACAGGGTCTCTAATTGAGAAACCTTACTCGAAACGCACCTGTATTCTGGTCTTTTGAGATAGTTGATTTTTTTGTACAAATGTTTTTACAAATTTCAACAAGTTGTATTAAGAAATAGCTTGATGTGATAACATGTCAAACATCCAAGGGAATGGGCAAATATGCAATAAGAAATAGATCAAAACGGTTCCCAGTACCAGCAGTGAGTCTAAGCATAATCTGCAGCTCCAAGTGAATTTTCCTTCATGACACAACAATTGATTATTATTTTCTAATCATGTGGTGGTGGAGCACATGTTCTCCCTGTGCCTGTGTGGGTTTTCTCACAGTGTACTGCCAAGCACGGTAGGTTAATTTGTGATTTTAAATTGGCCGTAAGCGTGAATGTGAGCATGCATCGTTGCCTGTTAGACCTGCATTGGGCTGCCCACCTGTCTTAGGTGTGCCATGCATCTCGCCTTGTGTCAGCTGTGATAGGCTCCAGCCCCCCCATGACCCTCCATTAGTGGGTATAACTAATGGATGAGCAATGATCCGGTATCAGATCTAAAGCATATTATTAGTCATTATATCTCAGTCCTCACCTAGTATCTCTGCTGACTTGTACTTAGACTTTTTAATGCTGACATCAAAGACAGTGAGCGCTCTGTGGCTCTGGTCGATGATGGCCAGTCTGGCAGGCTGGGTGGGTATGAAGACAGCAGCCTGGCACCCAGCGACTGGCACAGACTTGCACAGAGGATCTTCGTCCTCAGATGGAGAGGTCAAACTCTCAGTGTAAAACACCTGGCAGCAAACCAAACAGCAAAAATTCACATGTGCATAAATGTCTTGCATTGTTCCAGTGAATTAACACCTGTTTTCCCACTGTGTCACCCGTACAGAGGTAACGGGTAAAAAAAAACACACACATACAGGGAGAGACCAGGGCAGGAAGCACACACATACAGTCAGGCTGTCAAAGACAACGAGAAATACCTTTGGACTTAAATCATCATTGTCCTTGGTTCCAGCTGTGATCCACTTCTTGTCAGGTGAAACTAGCAGTATGTTGACTTTAAAGGAGTCACACACCATTATGCTGGACTTTTTGGTCAAAGCAAGATCAGCTAGTGTGCACACAGATCCCTGACTGGTTCCAACCTAGAAGAGAGACGAAAGTGTTACTTTACAAAACAATATTTTTTGTATTATTTTTACATCTATAACCAGGAAATGTTGAAATTACTTACAGTCAGAAACCAGTCATTGTTTATATTGTACTGTAGTAATGTACAGTGTGACGATGCAGTAGAAAAGGACGCCAGTTCTTGGCCAGTCTGACTTTGCCACGTCTTAATGAGGCCAGTAGAGTCTGCTGTGATCACAACTCCATGCTGTTCATCACTTACAATCCCTGTCAAAGGACTCTGCACAGGACTGCACCACAGGAGCTCACCCTGGAGGGAAGAAAGGTGCTGCAATATGTTAATTTCATGATGAGGGACATTTATCTCAATAGACGGCAGCTTTTAGACATGCAGGAAGAACTATTGGAGAAACTTGGTTTAAGCTGTCTTCAGCTGGAAAGAAACCTGTAAACCTCTGCAAAACCACTCACATGCCAAATGGTTTCAGCTTGCATAATCTCTTAGTAGCTGCTTTTGACAACAGAGTATTTCTTTTTATAGTCAGACTATATTGAAAATTTGGGCCCCAAAGAGAAAGTCAATGCAACATAAGTGAGTAGACCTGTGATAACTGCAGTTCTACATTACAGCAGTGATCATGAGGTGTAGAATGAACCACAGTACCACTAATCAGAGCAGCAGGGGCAGTCCTCCTAAAATGACAGCACTGGCAGTACACTGCTTTCAAAACCTACCTCTGAAAAACAGAAAGGCAAATGCTTCAGACTTGGCACAGTGGTTAATATTGGACATTTCTGAAGTTTATGTGACAGCTCAGACACTGTGAAGGATATTGCATAGTATGAAACTCCAGAGACCAATTCCAAAACAAACAAACAAAAAAAACTTGCTTGCCCTTCAGCACTGAACTGCAAGGTTAAACTTTGTGAAAGTACCCACAAAAAAAAAAAAAAAACACCTAAGGAATATTGGTAGCATATTCTTTAGTCAGATAAGACTGTGGTAAATTGATTTGGCTCTGCTGAGGTATGTAATCAGGGCTACCACAGTGAATGCATAGTCGTGAAGCATGTTGGAGGGAGTATGACGATGTGGGACTGGCACCATTTATAGGTGGCGCATTGATGCCTGTGTGAATATAACAAAATTCTGGCTGCCGGTCTCTAGAAGCTTGGCAGAAGAGAAAATTCAAGCACGATAATTATCCAAGGCACAATGCCAAAATCACTCAAGACTTGGTAAAGAAGAATAAAGCAAAAACTATGATCTGGCCAAATATGTTGGATGACTTGAATCTAACTGAAAACATTTGAGGTATTTTAAAGGGAAAGGTCATCCAAACACAAGCCCTCCAGTAAAGAACAGCTGAAAAAGTGGCTTTGGCAGCCCATCTCGCTAGAAATGTGTTGTTCAGTCTGTCATCAAGTGTGAGATGCTTCAGCTTTGAATCATTTGACATTTGAGTGATACTGCACAGAGGTTTACTTACTTCTGGTGTATACTGTACATGTGGCTTGCAGTTTAACACGACCTCAATACAAATCACTTGTCGATAAAGGTTTGAAGGAAGATTATCAAACATTGTTAATTTCACTTGTGGAACCTGCGATCTACAAAAAAACTAAATGAACTCAAAATATATTGTCTACGTTTTTGATACAGCCTACTATGATAAATGTTTGAATGTGACAGTGTTTACATTTTAAGTGTTTTCTGGCTCTGTTTTTTTTTTTTTTGCTTGCTTTGTCTGTAGCCACTATGAAAGTACAATGGTAGAAATACTATTAACATGACTGCTGAGCACGAATGATGGCACTGAAGGTGTTGCACTGACATTTTTGATGTTCCATGCTCTGACTGTACCATCAGTAGAAGCACTGCAGACCGTGGCGCTGCTGTTCCAGAGGTCCGGCTGCTGGCTTGAATTCCCCTGCAGGTAGACCAACCCCACCACCCTGCCTGATGGACGGGGTCGTGAGATACAAAACGTAGACTGAGAACTATTTTGAAGTCATGCAAGTGAGATTCCAGATAAGCAGAGAGAGAAAGCATACCTGCGTGACCCCTGAGGCTTTTACAGGTGTATCCTCCTGATTGACCTTTCGTCATTTTCGTCTCCAAGTGGCATCGTCGCTGGAAGTATCTCTTCCATGAGTGATTGACGTTTTCACTCCCCAGTACAGAGAGGTTACAGAAACTCCAGCGCTGCAGACACATCCTCCTAAAGAGAGTTAAAGAGAATGGATTATTCCCACGATCATTGCTTTGCCCTTATTTTGAAAAGACAGAAAGCTCACCTCCATAACCAAGGAGTCTCTGCAGCTTCATGCCAGTCCTGAAAATATAAATATGTAATCAGAAACTAGTTTGGCATTCATAATAATATTAATAACTGTAATTATATGAAAAAAAGGATACTTAGGAAGACTTCATCAGAAAGCTGGCCAGGCCAAACAGAAATAAATAAAAAGAGAATCAAGAAGTGGAGAAACAGAGTGACACAAAATGCAAATGCAGAATTTAAACATAAACAAATAACAAAACTAACAGCTGATGCAAATAAAATAAGCACCAAAAATGCCCCAGCACATTAAAGGGAAGAAAACTACAGATACGAGGGTAAAGAGCAATCGACAAAGAGAAACATATAAAAGAATAAAAGGGGAAAAAGACAGGTTTTAAAGGGCTGCACTTGTGAGAGGCTCTCTCAGCTACTTCCGCAAACTGAACCCTCCTTACCTTACACACGCCAGAAACGCTGACCAAATCCTCCTCGGTCAGAAACGTGAAGATGTGAATGAGGCAGTCACCGATCAGCTGCGGCTGATGAGGATCCATGCTGACATGAATAATCTTTCAATTTTTTGACCTGTTGTTGTTGTTTTTTTACGATGTGAAAGCGGCAGTGCAACTTAGCTCAGGGAAACTACGGAAAGAATACAGGGACAAGGAGCGGAGGGAGGTTCAGCTTCAACCAGCAAAACACCTCCTGCGCCGCCAGATGTCGCCGTTATACAGGGGAGGTGATCCGGAGAGACGACCAGGACGGAGGCGCACAACAGGTAGCGCGCACCTGATGATACAACCACGAAAGGTAGGTGACTCCTACTTTTGAATATATAGTTTAAGAAAAAAACAAACGCATGCACTTCGATTCAAAAATGCGTTATTTAGCCACTTTTTTTTTTGGAGGGAAGGTAGTATGTCCGAATCTCTACTTAAAATTTACGTAAACTTTTCTTGGTTTTACTATCGAGAATATAGTTGGTTTGAATATTATTTTTCTTTATTTCTCTAGCTGATTTTCCTTTTTTGGCAAATGTGGGACTGCAGTGTAACAAACTTGGTAACGTCTTGTGCGTAAAATTACGCATAAGACAGCAAATATATAGCTTCACCCAGTTAAAACCAAATAAATGGCTGTCCCATTCAGTCAAGGTGAATTCATAGCAGAGGAGTGTGTAGGCTTGTGTATGTATGTACGCATGCATGTGTGTATGTGTGGCTGTCTGTGTGTGTGTGAGAGAGAGTGTGTTGAGATTCAGCCCTGGCGGGATTCTTCAGCAGGGCCCCATGTCTCCTGTGAACACGCCCCAGATAGATGAGGCAGATATATAGCCAAGACCTGCGGGTAGCAGAGGAACTGAGAGACAGAGATAATCGCACTTGCTCACCCCAAGGGTTACCTGTGACACCCTCGCAATGACAAGAGGGCCCAGCGAAAGGGGGCCACGTACTGAAGGGAGTTTGGATGATACCCCAGTCGGCGATTTGTAAAACTTTCCGAGCGTCTCCTGTTTTTGATGCTTTTCGTCATTTTGGACGTCCTCTGGAGTTACCTGAGCTGTGATCGAGCGGAGAATAAGCGAACAGAGTTATTAATCAGCTCCACAAATCGTTGCATGAAACTGAGAGCTGGGCCGCAATGAGTCGGAGAACGCGACGCTGGATTTTAAGAGTTTTGCTTTGTTTAGGAATTGTTTACCTGAAAATTGGGTGAGCTGCGTTCATTTGACCTCTTATTAGTCAGTCACCAAGTCTTTGAGTTTATTAGTGGACGAATGACAGATTTAGCAGTTGCTGGTGCTTCTAAAACGACCAATGTCTCCCTTTATTTCCTCAAAAGCAGGTAGTTGATCTGATAAATGGCAAATCAAGTGTTTAGTGAGGAGCGTAGCCGTATCTCAGACTCGTGGCAGCTGCGTACTTCTACGTTAAGGGACTGACTTTTCTTACTTCAAATTTTAAATTATGCTGAAACTCATAGTCACATAATGTGCAACTGTAATATAGGTGACGCACAGAGGTGCACCTTAACGCACTTTTTTTTTTTTTTTTTGTGAAAAAAAATATTTTAGTGATAATACCTCATCTTAAATTGCACCCGGCACAATTTTATATTTCCAGTAAGGACATGATAAATATTTTGATCGTTAGGCCTACTATCACTTTTATTTAAGATATCAAATTGTGCAAAGGCATTTTTTATATATAACATTGACATGTTAGATATTTGGGGTTAAAAAAAAAAAAAAATCAAATTAAGCCCAAAAACCCCCAAAACAACAACAACAACAAAAATGTACATAACATGGTTGATGGCTTCTTTTCCTCAGTCCTGTCCATCTTCCATTCACAGTGGCTTCTCATCGGTGGTGGCCCTAGGTGCGAGTATAATCTGTAACAAGATCCCCGGTTTGGCCCCCAGACAACGGATTATCTGCCAAAGTCGCCCCGATGCCATTATCGTCATCGGAGAGGGAGCCCAAATGGGCATCAACGAGTGTCAGTTTCAGTTCAAAAACGGGCGATGGAACTGCTCTGCGCTAGGAGAGAGGACTGTCTTCGGAAAAGAGTTGAAAGTGGGTATGTTGCTGTCTGTTAACGTTTGTTTACTATTTGATTTTATTTTATTTTTTATCTCTCCCAGCATTAAACACAATTTTTCAGTCCCCTCGTACAACAATGCGTATTTGTGCGCGTAAAATGTGCACAGCATTTGCCTTTGGTTATTTTGTGTTGTAATTCAAAAACTGTCAGCGTTTACAAGTGCCAAAGTGAATTAGCAAAATGTTATAACATAAATAAGCTCAATGAAAAAGTTATATTACAAAAATATATGTCAGTTTTTTACCACGACATGCATCGTTTTCCATTTATTTCCAGAACACAGTCTGATATCTGGTGCTCCTTATATCCAGTCAAAAACTGCCCCAGACAAACATTATCATCGGCCATGAATTATTACACCCATAGTATAAGAAGCATCCCTTAAGGAGCTAGTGTCATTTACATCAGGCCTAGTTTTGCTCCAGACATTTCATTGAGAAGGGCTTTTCTGAGCATATATAAAAGGTATCTGAAGCCAGCATTGTAACAAAGCTCTTGTGAATGTTGGCAGCCTTTCCTTTCAGCCCGGCAGAGCCTCTAGAGACACATTTTCACTGGTCTTTATCCTGTCTAGTGATGGGTGCTGTGGCTCTCACTGTAAGGATGTAGATCTTACCACGGGTATAAGTTACAGTGAGGAATAGCCAAGAGGAAAGCAAGACTCCAAAGTATTAAATTAGAGAAACAAATTAGTCCAAATCGACGTTCCTACTGCTGAGATAAAAGTTTCTTCTAAAGAGGGATGAACTCCAGGGGATGCTGACATTATGGCTGGAGTTGTGTGGCTTGTTTGTTGGCCACTGTGATAGGATAAGGGGGATTAAAGACTATTGGATATTGAGGATACCGATACCAGGACAGCAAAACCGTGTTTAATCAAGAATATCAATATTTTGTCAAGTCATATCTTTATGGATACAGTATGTGAAAGGGGTTTGATAATCACAGAGGTGTCTTTGTAACACCATTTTGAAAAATACCTTCATAAGAATATATTTTTGTCCCTTGCCAAAGACGTTGATATATATATATATATATATATATATATATATAAAACAAAAAAACAATAACACAATGGTCAGTAGCTTGGACCAGCTGTTTGAGGCCATCTTGCCTGCTGCAGTTGGAAAGAAAGGATTATTTCTTCATGCTGTTGAAATGAAAATAGTGGTGTTTGACAATCTGTTCCTTTATGAATGAGTGGTTTTAGCCAATCAAGAGTTTTGGTCTGTGTTTCCAAGAGTGGAGTTTAAGTCTATGGCTTGGACAGCCATACCAAATAGATTGGTTTCACTGATCAGATTAGCGTAGAAGGCGAATGGTTGTAAATGAATACCATTGTTGATGCTCAGGCTGAGTGTAGCTGTGTAGCCTGCAGTCGTTCTTAAAGCAAAATAGGAATGACCAGGAACGGACGTAATGCGTTCGGTTAATGCAAGGTGCACCAGATTTGTGGTATTTTAGGCCTCAACTATGTTTGCACTCGAGAGCTGAGATCCACACTAAGAGGCTGCATATTGAGGGTTTCATGAGTGATGGTAAACTGACACTGCTAGTTCAACTCATACAGGCTTTTGAATTTTTGTCAGCGCTGTTTTTTTTAATATCTTCCATCTCTCATTACAAGGTTATGAAGAATTCATACCATCTCTTGTGGTGAACCCGTGCACTCAGGACTGTAGGGGAAAAATTAACAACGGTGCAGTCAGAACTGACTGACTGCTCTGACACACCTTCTTTTTTGGCTCTGAGCCCATCAAGTCTATAAAAACGTCCACATAATTGATGCCTCAATATGAGTTTTTTTCTTCAATGGCAAGGGCACACATCCAAGATGTTTATCAAAAACATGGCAGCTTTACATAGTGAACCGGGTGGCAGGAGGAAGCACAAAGAAGGTATGATGTTTGTTTTGAACAAACAGCGACAAGGGGAGTTTATTTACACATAGATATGATGGATGTCGTAATCAGCAGTTTGCTGTTTGCATAATAATGAATCATAGATCTGAAAATTAAAAAACACTCTACATGCTGGTCAGGTTTAAGAACACATGCATGGTTATTGCATGCTATTTGAACATTGTATGAGAAGGAAAATGCCTTGCTTTGCTTCCATACATACGCCTACAAGACAAATTAGACTTTCTCTTGGCTTATTGTGTGACTGGAGAACTTAGCTTCAGGGTCTGTCTATGCCTTTGAGTCCTGTGAGATTAACCTTTAGTTATTTGTCGATATTTCCCTGTACGTAAATGATTTGTTAGCTGGACTTGGGTGCAGATAACGGCAGAATGAAGATTCTGATGTCACTACCTTATGAGTTTACACAGAATGTGACAGTTTCCAAGTGGATCAATAGCCCTTCCTTCCCTACAGCCCTCTTATTCATACAGCTTTGTTGACTATACCGCCGGCCGACATTTTGGTTCACGGGCAGGACAGTTTCCAGGTCAGGTTTCAAAACACTGCAGCCCTTGAGTGATATGTCAGGAAGACTGTGATGTAAGCACACATTATGTTAATAATTGATCTCTTTGCCTATTTAAAAAAATCTCTTACATACAAATAGTATTCCCTTTAAACTAAAGGAGAAACACAGTGACTTCCTTTATTTCACAAAATGTAAATGCATACCTGCTACATTTTATTCACCATCTTTTTTTCTGCTCCCACAGGCAGTAAAGAAGCTGCGTTCACCTACGCCATCATCGCAGCAGGTGTGGCCCATGCCATTACAGCAGCCTGTACGCAGGGTAACCTGAGTGACTGTAGCTGTGACAAGGAGAAGCAGGGTTTCTACAGCAAAGACCAAGGATGGAAGTGGGGAGGCTGCTCAGCAGACATCAGCTACGGCCTGGGTTTCTCCAAAGTATTTATTGATGCTCGGGAGGTCAAGCAGAATGCGAGGACGCTCATGAACCTCCATAATAACGAGGTGGGACGCAAGGTAAGAAATCGGCAATGGGATTATGCCTAACTTTAAAGATAGCAGAATTCAGCGCAAAAGATGTACTCCCACCTCCACCGAGATTCGACTAAACGGTGAACTGACGGTTAAGTAGCTGGTCTCAGTAACTGCTAACAGTCTCTGCCATGCTTTGGTGTGGGTGAACCTCGCCAGAGATATGGGCAGCGAGGCCAAGCTTCAACAAGGAGCAGAATAAAGGGCTGCTTTTAAGGGAAGAGCTGTCTAAGTGGCAGGGTTTGATTACAGCCCAGATCTCTGCACTGAAAACAGATTGACACTGTACAAAAAGGCATTAGCCCAGTCCACCCTGTGTTTTGCACCACTGGGACAGTATACAGTTACCTTTATGATAATCCCCACCCACAATTTCTCTAATGGCGCAAACCCTCATCAGGTGCAGAGTGCCTGCACATGCACCTCAGGGGTGTTTAGTGTTTGGCTCCAAGGTTTGTTAATCATTGAGTAATATGTGTCTTTGTTTCTGTTCAAAGGAGTGCAGTGATGTGCATGAACTCCAGCTGCATGTTACATCTAATTCACAGCTTGACTAGGCACGAGATTTTAACTGAATCTTCATTAAGTCAAAATAGTTTTTTATGTACCATGTGATTCTTCATGCTTTCTGATGGAATTGATCCAAAACAAAAAAATCTAAATTTTGCAGAAAAATAAGTCAAACATAAGGAATTGCAACATTAAAATGTAGGAAATTTTCCCCAGAAAGTATTGTTTTCATTATTTATTATTTTCAATGCCTGTCCGCCATGCATGGTTGCAGAACACTGTAGAGTTACAAAGAGACTCCAGCAGGTCTAGAAGTTAAGAGATTGAGGGGAATAATGTGCCCAACAGCCAAAGTGAGGTTGGAGTTAGTGCAGAAAAAGAAAGCTGCTTTGCCCAAGTTAACCGATATCCTCTCTCTCTCTCTCTCTCTCTCTCTCTCTCTCTCTCACTGTCTGACTCTGCCAAAACAGCCTGATTCACACAACCAACACGTCCAACACAGTGACTGAAAAGACTCCCCACACACAATTGCAGCGAGCAGATAATTTTCTATGTGCGTTCCAAGGACCATGAATTCAAATTGGCTTATCTGGACAGCTAAATTGCCTCCCAGGGAAAAGACTGTACTTGTGGATTCAAACTTTTAGCGGTTTCACTTATTTCCCATTCTCTTCGCTAATAAATAGACTCTCTGTTTTGATAGCTACCCCTCCTTTATTTATGCTAATTAAAACCAGTGACACCGAGCAGGAGCGCCGTTCACAGCTCCCTGGTCGAAGACGTCCAGACAATGGCTGTCACAAGTGTTGGTCACAGAACAACTGATGGATTAGGGAGTTGAAGCCAAGGTTTTTATGAAGTGGTTTGCTCAGGGAAAAGCTGTTCTTTTTGGTCGTTGTTCACACGTCTGTATTTGGGGTTTTACTGTTACAGTTTACTTGCCAAGAACACAGACGTAAATTTCCCGTGAATGGCTTTAGGAGACCATATCGCATACCAAACATGTAGCATTTTAGGGGGAGGAAAAAAAAAAGAAAAAGGAAATCGCAATTGACCTTGTTGCTAAAGAAAACTTTAGTTTCAGTCAATGGCTCGTCTCATTGTCATCAGTTCAGGGTTTAGCAGTAATCCTAGTCACTCGGCGCCTTGTACAGTCACTCTTGACATTTGTGTGTTGTGTGTGGTAACTACACACACAGAGCCTGAAATCTGATACATTATTTTGGCTTCTGTGTGTATGGTATCACACTGCCCTGTGGTGGGGCTGTATTTAATCCCTAGCTGTAGTTATTTGTCAGTCACATTGTTTAATAAGCTTGTCGCTTGCTTTGAAGGGACCGAGTTACAATCTGGAGGGGTTTTAGAGTATATGTGTAGATATACAAATCTACAAATATGAAAGCAAGAGATGAAAAATACAACAAACACATTAATCTCAAATTGGTTCTAATAATTTGAGTACAGTTGTAACTGTCACTCATTACTGGAGTGTGTTTGCATTTACCTGTTGTTACTACCTCACTAAGTTGTTTTTGTGCGTCTAGGTCTTGGAGAAGAACATGCGATTGGAATGCAAGTGTCATGGTGTCTCAGGCTCCTGCACCACCAAAACCTGCTGGACTACACTTCCCAAGTTCCGCGAGCTCGGCTACATTCTCAAGGAGAAATATGCCCATGCGGTGCACGTGGAACCAGTCAAAGCCAGCCGCAACAAGCGCCCTAAATTCCTCAAGATCAAGAAGCCTTACTCGTACCGGAAGCCCATGGATACAGACCTGGTGTACATAGACAAGTCGCCCAACTACTGTGAGGCGGACCCTGTGACTGGGAGCTTGGGGACACAGGGACGGGTGTGTAACAAGACAATGATGCAGCACATCAGCGGCTGCGACTTGATGTGCTGCGGCCGGGGATACAACACGCACCAGTACTCTCGCGTCTGGCAGTGCAACTGCAAGTTCCTGTGGTGCTGCTACGTTAAATGCAACACCTGCAGCGAGAGGACAGAGGTGTACACATGCAAATGAGAGTATTTATTGGATGGTGTATGTGACGATGTATGCGAGCGCTCATGTTTCAGTGTTTTCATGGACAAAAACCTTACAAGAAGGCTGTTTTTTTATTTGCGGTCTTTTTCATGCATGAGGAACTTACTGCGTATGCGGTAAGCTGAAGATGGGCGTCATGATTCTTTTGCACACGAAGCTCTTTTACCCCCTCTTCTTGGACTGTTTGTTGGGATGCGGTGTCGGAACAGTGTGAGGAAAAAAGCAGTTAAGGGAGAAAACTGTAGCCTGGCTTATGGGACTGGTTGACCACAGTGTGAGTCACCAAAACAAAATGTCAAGACTTTAAGCTATATGGACATGTACTGACATTTTGACGGCTTGGCCTTTGCCAATGCAAACGAATTCTGGTGGATGTGATGCTGGGCAGGACACCCTGCTGTAGTTCTCACCCTGTGTGCACAGATGAAACGACACAGCCATTTGGAATATTTAACATACTGTATTTAGAGAATGAAAATAATTAATATTAATTTATTCTATAAAGAACTACTGATTTTGTCCATTATGGATCAAAAATAACTAAATGTCATGAGGTCTTAGTTTATTAAAGCAATTGCAACATGTCCATGGCTAACACACTGGATTTGAATCTGCCTGGAATAATGTGTCATGTTGTAGAGTAATGTTGTTCCACATGCTGTAGGCTACTCAAATTGACCTTCTGACCTTCTCGTGAGTTTGTCTTCCCTCTGTTTGCTGCTAGACTAGAAAAAAAAATCCCACTTGTTGAGGTAGAAGGCTGAATGCTGTACTGACTGTCTCCAGTGGTGTTGCTCACTTCAAGCTAATGTAGCTTTACTGGAATTATTCACTGATCAAAAACACGGGCACATTTTCCACGTTTGGTAAATATTGGTTAATAGAGTATATTTTGTAAAAGCCTATTTTTATATGAATGTTTTATTTATATCTTTTGCATATTCAATGTCACGTTTCTGACCCTGACATCTGTTTTTAAAACCCCTGTGAAAAAAAAAAAAGCTGATATATGTAAGTTGGCCCCAGCTGTCACTGCCATAGTTGTATATTGTAAGTGATAGAGACTGTTTATATGTGTCTGTGTTCAAATGTCTGTGTTTACTGCGTTTCATGACTACTACTGATGAAATACAGGAACAGAATAACACTAACAATGACATGATTGCCATTATTGCTTCCTCACACATCAACTCTGATTAAAAAAAAAAAAAAAAAAAACACTTGGAGATACCACAAAGAAATAACATGCAATGCGATCGCTTTACAAGGATGCTTAAACAGTTGTAATACGCTGTAAATGACCAGTCAGAAATTACTTAGTGTCACTTAGTGAAGATAACAATGATCGTAAATTAAACAAAATGGTGCTCTAACCTCATCATTTTTTTGCCATAAACTAGCGTCGCAGTTGAGCTGTTGAACTTTTATAGCATAAATTACCCTAACTGCTCATTAAATAGGAATCACTTAACTTATAGAGTCATTACTTTTACTTTCGAATAGACATGAAAGTAAATCTTAATCGATAGTAGTTACGTTGTAGCTTGCGTCATTATCAGGCACTTTGAAGTATCATAAAATACAGATAAATGTTCTCTAATATCATATGGTCACCATGGAGATAAATCAGCCCTCAAAGGACAAGTGCAATGTTTGCGATGCTCGGCAGAAAGAGAGACGTTCTTTGAGAGGGGAAAGTTATTCAGGCTTAATTGAGGGCCCATCTTACAGACCGGGGAAGCGGTTGAATGTGTCCGAGGAGAAAAAGTGTTTGTGCTCTAATGGTAGGGTACCGGTGTAATTGATGAGGCTGGTCGGGCAGACTGTCACAGTGATGACTTGCTCAGTCGGGGGAGTGGGAGCTGTCAGGTGATAGATGACTTGCACATCTGCTTCATTCACTCCTGGGCCACTAGTTGCTACAACAACTCCAGTGCAGGCGAGAAAATGCAGGGCAGTCTCCAAGAGAGGCCGGCCGACGTGTCAGGGAAATGTTAACGATGCGAAAGTCCACAGTCGTTACAGATTCCACTCTCATCGGCCTGGAAGTGGAGTGAGGAGACAGGCCCAAAGGTGCTGACGGAAAACCTGCTCCCAATAATCTCCTAGGATTGACAAATGTAGCTTGTAAAGTTTTCACCTGTGCTGTATTTTAGAACGTTTCCACATGCGCCTCCCCCCCAGTAGGAACGCACTGTTTCACCTTTGTGGGAAAAAAAAAAGCAAAGACACATGAGAATTCAGGTTTATTTTACAGTCACCATATCGTGCGCCATTGGCTGTGATAATCTACCCAGAATAAAGAGAAAAGGGCGTGAAGGGATAATAACAGAGGCTTGTCTCTGTCTAACAAAAGCTTTCAGCTTTCATAATATTGATACAAAAGACTCGCGCATAAGAAAAGGCAGCTGCTCAGAAAGCTCTGGTTAAAACTAAACTAGGGTTTTGTGCATGAGACGCACATCACTTTACCTCCTGAACAAAACACTCGCATCTCAGGGTTCTTTATATGTGTCGCCTATTTACTTTCACTTGAAGCAATCCAACATTTGAATGACAAGGGCAAAATACAAGCTTTGTGTGGATACTCTGAATGTGGCACTCTAAAGTTACAAGGTTCTTCCAATGCAGATTAATCATGAAGATTGACACCATTAAACCTGTGATGCAACTAGTTACAGCAAAACAGACTTTAAAATTTTTTTTTTTAAACAAACAATGTAGTTTTTAGTGGCTGCAAGGTGGTGCAGTTGGTAGCACTGTTGCCTCGCAGCAAGAAGGTTGCCGGTTCGCCTCCCAGTGGGGGCACCAGAATCTTTCTGCGTGGAGTGTGCATGTTCTCCCCGTGCAGCGTGGGTTCTCTCCGGGTTCTCCGGCTTCTTCCCACAAGTACAAAAACATGTTGAGGTTAATTGGTGATTCTAAATTGTCCGTAGGTGTGAATGTGAGTGTGCTTGGTTGTCTGTCTCTAAGTGTAGCCCTGTGATAGACTGGTGACCTGTTCAGGGTGTCCCCTGCCTTCGCCCTAAGTCAGCTGGGATAGACTCCAGCCCCCACCGTGACCCTAGTGAGGATTAAGCGGGGTATAGACAATGGATGGATGGATACAGTTTTTAGCTACTGTTACAGGTAATCCACCTGCAGTGTTTTCCAGTCAGGTGCAAAACACCACCACACAGAGGCCACAGCCACTTCATCCCTGCTGAATCACAAGCACAAAATACCACCTTCTTTGATATTTCAGCCTAAGTCAGACACCCTGCAGGATCACTGAAATGCTAATTATACTCTTAGCCGTGTTTCTCCATAAACAGGACCAGGCCCATGCCAAGATGTTCAGGGGTGTAATATACATGTTGCTCTGAAGTGGGGTGGCGTTACCCTTTGGAGTTTTGTTTATAAAAATACACACACGCACACACACACACACACACACACACAGACACACGGGCACACAGACACACGTGCTCACCCATCACCTGCAGTAGTTGGAAATTGGTGGTAGCTGCAGATTTATGGTTAGTAGTCTGGCTCACTCCCTTTGTTATTGCTGGAGGTCTGCCACAGCTTCCCTATCTGCTCCCATGACCTGTTACATCAGGGCAGCCCAGCAGTGAGCTTCAGCCAGAAATTAGCATCAAAGCCAAAAAAAAGAAAAGAGTCTTTAAAACATATTTAAGCAAGACCTATCCTGCTCTTTGTTTTATCATTAGATCGGCCTTGAGCACACCAGTGATCAGATTTACAGCTGAAGGTAGAATTTATCTGATGCTGCAGACATTTGTTGAAACGCGTGACAGGGTTTAGGATTCATTTCTAATTACAACAAACAAAGCGATGACGTTTCTTCACGCAGTCTTACCTCTTCTACCCTGCCTGGCGGCACACATGAAACACAGACAGCACGCATTTGCTTTTCCAAAGAAAACCTGCGACTTCTGAAAATGTACCACCAATGAATAAGGAAATGACTCATAATTTCACAGTTAAAGAGTTGTTAAATCATACATCTTACAAGGCTTTCATTAACGCAGTGTGTGTGTGTGTGCGCGCGCCTGTGTGTGTGTGAACCGTTGTGTTTCAACAGTTTCCAACATTTTACTCAAACAAGTGGACAGCACTAAAGACAATAATTTGAAGGAGGAGGAGGAGGAGCAAGAAAATACGCTCTTCAGTTTTTCTTTCCCCTTCGCTCTCTCTGACCATAAATCTTCTGACACATGATTATGTCAGTCATACTTTTGTTTTTCCTCTGGTTGAGACATGTACAAGCACCTGAGCGCTGCACAGTAAATTGCAGAGCACAAGGTTGTCTTTATGTGATTCCAGAGATACTGTATGGGCGCAGAGCTCATTCATGCACTCTCTTAACCGCGTGCTCTTTGAGGCTCTGCGATGGGAGCTCGAGATAGTCGACAATATCCACTCCCCACAAGAGAGATCCAAAACTGTTTGGCCCCTCACAGGGTCTATCTGACTTCCCATGGTCTATCAGATTTTACAGGTAAACACAGTGGTCAAATAGCTCCAGGGTATTGTCAACAGCATTATGCTGAGGACACAGACTGGATAAGCACTCTGGGGGGATTTTAAAGGAGCCATTTACAATGATCTGAATGAACATACCAACCTGCTTAACGTGCCTTTGAAAGCTTTTGAAATATTTAATCACGGAACAGTGATGGGGTAATGAGGACCTTGAGTGAGTTTGTTAAAAGCTGCCTTTGATGGTGTGCGTATCTTCAAATGATCTGAGCACCCCATATGATACTTTTCCTTGGTTTTGGAGTGGTTTTGGAACAGGGTTATGGAGGGCCCTCATACCTGTCCCCCCCCACCACCCCACAGAAGACGTCACCCGAGCTAAGCTTACAGTAATCCTCCGACGTCTCGCGCATCCTGACACGGGATGTTTTGAACAAAAACACCAAACTCACTACAACCCTGTAAGACCTCGGAGACGCTTAAGAAATATCACAGATCATCACCCAGCGTCATGACAGTCAGGCCAACACGGCAGATTCCTAACCTGACAGTCTACTCTTTGCCCTTCCAAAGAGGAAGTGGGCATTTCCTCTCCTTTATTTGACTGTTTGTTGTTTGCTTAACAGAACAGTAGCTTCTTTAGAAACCACAATCTCAGTGCTGATGAAACATTTCCATTACAAGGCACAACTTTTAAATAAGAGCAACAATGTGATGCCAGGCCCAGGCAGATATTTTCCACTTGTACGCCAGGCAATCAATTAATGTTGTCGAGTGCTGCTGGTGTCTTAAATTTTCAAATTTCCCGAAAAGAAAGGTGCACAAACAAGCTGCTGGGACGTAAACATTCTGCGTGTACTTCACTGATGGTGTCATAGCTTCCAAGCTCCTGTCTCTTGGCTGAGTTCAGAGGGAGTTGCAATGAATTCTCGCCTCTAGCATCTTGTAACCTGTCCAGACACGCTCCTAAATGTATCATTGCAGAAAGCCATGAAACAATTTGAGCTGATGCTGCCAGTTTAAATAACTAAACCGTGTGGTCAGAGCTATTATATCATTAATCTTCTCCCTCTCTCCACTCATGCTTTGCCAAGGTATGGAAACACCCTCACCTTCAACCCAAAGAGGTAAAGAGATACCTGAAAGTACCTCTTTTGATATGTATCCTACAATGCTGGTGACAAAAGTGTTTTGAAGTCAGTGCCATAGACCCTTTCAATCATGTTATCTTTGTTGCATTCCCCTGCTGCTGGATTGAAATGCATATTCCAGAAAACTTTGAAAGGAAAACATTTTTCGATAACAACACAAAGAAAAAACTTGCCCTTCACAATTTAATATTTATGGGACACAAACTGGCCTTAGCACGTGGTTAATTGCATACGCAGTTCATGACACTGATCTCATGAACTGTAATAACCACTTGTATAAGACTTTTGTGTCTGTGGCTCCCTGTAAATAACAGCCAGTGTTGGCTGTAAACAAGGTAAAGGCCTGATGTCTGACAGGTTGTATCTCAGGTCATTTTGTTCATTCCTTGAAATGTATTTCACGTTTCCCTTTTCACCTTATGCACTGCAAAGCATACACAATCACTGCTAAGCTCTACTTAAAAACGACAACAACAACAAAAAAAAAACCAAGAAGAAAACTGAATTCGAAGTAGGTAATG